AGGCGAGAGGGGACAAGAGGGAGGCGGGAGGCGGGAGAAGGAGGAGGAGGATGAGGAGGAGGGACGCGACACCACAGTGCTCTATTCAAAACGAATACCCAACCAAGGGGGGTTGGGAACTTACCCTGGCGACGTACCCAACCCCTGCGCAATGCGGGGCATGAATAGCTTGGGAGACGTTATACGGAGGTGATGACGTGACATGGGCGCATCTACTTCTGCGAGCGGCATTCGTGAGGCTCGTAGCCCCCCAAGGATTGCGATGTCTCGCTCAGATCTGCCTGGTGCCTCGCTCCGCTGAAACCGCCACCAGCCTTCGAACGTTGCGACGGTTTCGCAGATCGCAGCCCCCCAGGGACGGCGAGGCCCCGCTCCGATCTGCGCGGTGCCTCACTCCGCAGGACCCACCAGCAGCCCTCGAAAGTGGCGACGGTGTCGCAGATCGCAGCCCCTAAAGGACGGCGAAGTCTCGCTCCGATCTGCGCGGTGCCTCACTCCGCAGGACCCACCAACAGCCCTCGAAAGTGGCGACAGTGCCGCAGATCGCAGCCCCTCAGGGACGGCGAGGTCTCGCTCAGATCTGCGCGGAGCCTCACTCCACTGGGCCCACCAGCAGCCCTCGAACGTGGCGACAGTGCCACAGATCGCAGCCCCTCAAGGACGGCGAGGTCCCGCTCAGATTTGCGCAGTGCCTCACTCCGCTGGACCCGCCAGCAGCCTTCGAAAGTGGCGACGGTTTCGCAGATCGCTATGCTGGCCCCCAAGCAGCCCTCGAAAGTGGCGAGAATGTCGCAGATCGCAGCCCCCCAAGGACGGCGAGGTCCCGCTCAGATCTGCGCGGAGCCTCACTCCGCTGGACCCACCAGCAGCCTTCGAAAGTGGCGACCGTTTCGCAGATCGCAGCCCCCCAGGCACGGCGAGGTCTCGCTCAGATCTGCGCGGTGCCTCACCCCGCAGGACCCACCAGCAACCCTCGAAAATATCGACGGTTTCGCAGATCGCGTCGGGGAGGTCCCGCTCAGATCTGCGCGGTGCCTCACTCCGCAGGACCCACCAGCAGCCCTCGAAAGTGGCGACAGTGTCGCAGATCGCAGCCCCCCAGGGACGGCGAGGTCTCGCTCAGATCTGCGCGGTGCCTCACTCCGCAGGACCCACCAGCAGCCCTCGAAAGTGGCGACAGTGTCGCAGATCGCAGCCCCCCAGGGACGGCGAGGTCTCGCTCAGATCTGCGCGGTGCCTCAGTCCGCAGGACCCACCAGCAGCCCTCGAAAGTGGCGACAGTTTCGCAGATCGCAGCCCCCCAGGGACGGCGAGGTCTCGCTCAGATCTGTGCGGTGCCTCACTCCGCAGGACCCACCAGCAGCCCTCGAAAAAAGGCGACAGTGTCGCAGATCGCAGCCCCCCAGGCACGGCGAGGTCTCGCTCAGATCTGCGCGGCGCCTCACTCCGCAGGACCCACCAGCAGCCCTCGAAAGTGGCGACGGTGTCGCAGATCGCAGCCCCCCAGGGACGGCGAGGTTTCGCTCAGGTCCCCGCGGTGCCTCCGTCCGCAGGACCCACCAGCAGCCCTCGAAAGTGGCGACAGTGTCGCAGATGGCAGCCCCCCAGGGACGGCGAGGTCTCGCTCAAATCTGCGCAGTGCCTCACTCCGCAGATCGCAGCCCGCCAGGGACGGCGAGGTGTCGCAGATCGCTGCCCCCCAGGGACGGCGAGGTCTCGCTCAGATCTGCGCGGTGCCTCACTCCGCAGGACCCACCAGCAGCCCTCGAAAGTGGCGACAGTGTCGCAGATCGCAGCCCCCCAGGGACGGCGAGGTCTCGCTCAGATCTGCGCGGTGCCTCACCCCGCAGGACCCACCATCAACACTCGAAAGTGGCGACAGTGTCGCAGATCGCAGCCCCCCAGGGACGGCGAGGTCTCGCTCAGATCTGCGCGGTGCCTTACTCCGCAGGACCCACCAGCAGCCTTCGAAAGTGGCGACAGTGCCGCAGATCACAGCCCCCATCGTCGGCGAAGAGAGGGCAGGAGGAGGCGGGAGGCGGGAGGTGGAGGAGGTGGAGGAGGAGCAGGACGAGGAGGAGGAGGAGGAGGACGCGACCACAGTGCTCTATTCAAGTCGAATACCCAACCAAGGAGAGTTGGGAAAAAGGAATTCCCAGAATTTCGGTTTTTTTCAAAAAGGGACTCCGACTCGGAAATCCCGCACATCCCCTGACATCTGGCCGGTACCGCGTCTCCCGGTTTCCCAGGGGGCCCCCAGGACGCCCAAGGACAGCCCAAGACGACCCCAAGGAGCTTCCAGAACGCAAAGAACGGCCCAACACGCTCCCGCGCAGCCTGAGACACCCTTCCGACGGCTCTCCAGGTCTCCAGGAGGCCTCCAGAACCCCCAGGGGGTCCAGAAGCCACACCCCTGAAGGGCCCGGCTAACAAAACCCGCGAGGCACAAACAAAACACAGCGCCGAACAGCGCCGAGGAACTGGAAAAAATGGGAATCCCACAATTCCTTCTTTTTTGTTCTTTTTTGTTTTTCAAGTTTGGCCCCCGGTCTGCTCTTGCACAACAGACCACAATTCAGACCCCCTCACCTCCCCAAAAAGCCCAGGAAGCCTTTGAGGGCCTCAAATCGTTGAAAACCTAAAGGAAATGAATTCATGATTTCTGCGTTTCCGTACTTCCCCTTCTATACGATTCCGAGGCTTGCGCAGGGCCTCCAAGGGAGTCCCTGGACGTAGGAAACGACCAAAATGAGATTACATGAGTTGGCCGATCAAGCCTAGCTACGACTGGGGGCTCGGGACCGCGACCTCGAGCGCGCATGGGGGTACCGGGGCCTCTGGCGCGCCCCTGGGACGGCTCCCGAGGGCGACGGAGGCCGCCAAACAGATCAAGAGGGCGCACGAGCCTCGAAATGTAGCTTGAAGACGCCGACGATGGCTCCAAGACGGCTCCCGGGAGCCCCCGAGACAGCCCAAGAGGGCCCCAAGAGCCCTCCCAAGAGGGCCCCAAGATGCAAAAATTGCCCCGTCCCCTTCGGAAGACGTACATTTTTCAGTGATTCGCCTCTTGCCCTTCCAGGGGAACGAAGACGGCCCGAGAGGCCGCCAGGATCGCCCCAAGACAGCCCAAGAGGGTTCCAAGACAGCCCAAAGGGGCCCCTGGCTAGCCCAAGAGGTCCCCAAGACGGCCCAAGAGGGACCCAGGACGGCCCCAAGCAGGGATGCCCTACAAACATTTCAAGCCCTCCGCCCCCAGAGGTCCCAAGGAGGCCCCAAAAGGCCTCCAAAACGCCCCAGACGAACCTGCCCTCCCAGAGTTTCCGGAGGCTTCTCCAGCGGAGATCCACGCGGGGGGGAGGGAGAAGGAAGAGGAGGAAGGGAGGAGAAGCAGGGGGAAAGAGGGAAGATGCAGAAAAGATCAGGACGAGGAGGAAGAAGAGGGAAGGCTGAGCAGGAAAAGTGCGCAGAAGGACGAGGGGAAGAAGGGCGATGAAGCGAGCAAAGGCGAAGAGAAGTGAACACTGAATAACGCGGATGTGAGAAGAAGCAGTGGGATCCCCAATTCGGCCAAGAGGCCCCCAAGAGGGGCCCAAGAGAGCTCCAAGACGGCCCAAGAGGGCTCCAAGACACCTCATCAGAGCCTCAAGACGACCCAAGAGGGCTCCAAGAGAGCCCCAAAAGGCTCCCAAGACAGCGCCAAGGGGCCCAGAGGACGCCCCCAGGAGAGCCCTGGAGGGGTCGTGGTGGTGATGGCTGCAGTTGGCTTAAATTCGTGCGCCGATTGTGGTCCTACCGACGATTAGGATGGTCGTGGCGGTGGCACTTGCCGTGGTGGTAATGATAGTGGTCGTGGATTCGCGGCAGTGGCAGTGGAAATGGTAGTGGTATTGGCGGTGGTACAGGCAGAGGTTGAACCAATGGCCGTTATAGTGGTCGTGGACAGTGCAATCGTTGTGGATGGGGGGGTCATGCCCAGAATGGACATGGAATCAGAAGTGGTCGTGACCGCGGTGATGGCGGAAAGGGCGGTGGTAGCCGTGGCGGCATTGGCGGTGTTGAGCGTGGTCGCGGGAGTGATTAGAACCTAAGCGCGCGCGAAGCGCGCGCGTGGTTCTAGTATATATATATATATATAAAATGACACGCGTGCGAGTCACACATGCGGAGACGATATCGGTGTGAAATGTGTTTGATTGATATGCGTGGCTGTGCCATGTGAGCAGTTGCAGGTAGTGATGGCGGCCAATGAGCCTTAGAAACAACGATTTCTACATCGCCCATTTGATATCACCGCGATTCTGCGCTGCGGTTTGGTGCGCGTGTTTGTTCGCATCGCACGTTCCCGCGGGTGGCCGCGCGCCAAATTTGATGCGACGTGCATATTCTGAGGTGCACAAGCAAGTCTCCAATCCTTGAAGATGGTGGCGCTTTCGCATACGCGTGGGCCACCTCGGTTTTCAATGGAACTTGTGTGACGCCCGTCACCCCTGGCACCCAAGGGTTTCACGATCTCTGGTGCGTGGGCTGCCAACTTTTACATGCGGGGCTGCAATAACGTTCCGCGTGCTTCGATTTGGCCAGCCCCCCCCGCTCCCCACGGAAGCCGCGCGCCAAAGGTCACTCCAGCGAGGAGCCACTCCGACCCTTTTGCCGTAAGAGTGGCCCTTCGCTGGGGTGACCTTTTGTGGCGGGATTGTGCGGCCACGCGTAAAAGGCCTACGCGTGGCTGTGCAGTCCTCCTCCGTGGTCAGACAGGCTTCCTTTCGATGGTCCTCAGGACGTGTGTTAGCGCTAACGTGGGCTTCTCCATTGAAACCCTTCAATACGACAGAAACGACTTAATGATGGCCGACACGGGCTGCATGTCATGAGGATCATCGACACTTTCTTCAGGTCAGAGCGAAGCGAGTCGCGCTCCTTCCGCATCCCGGGGCCCTGGGCTGTCCGACAGATATCGTGCCCTCAGGCTCTTTCCTGTTTTCGGGGTCGCCGCCGAAGTCCTGTGGCAGAAAATGGTCGTTGCTGGTGGTCGACAAGTTTTCCAACACCATCTCGCTGAAGTTCTCGCCCGGGCACCCACCACCTTAGCCGAGCAACGGCCGCGCGTGATCTTCTGGATCGTGTCCAAAATTCAGCACACATAGACGTATGATGATGTGCCTCTGACAGTGGGGGCAGAAGGTAGAGAAAGAGAGAGCGGTAGGTCATGTGTGCCAGTGTCTATGCTCATGTAGACGTGGGAGCCAGAACAGTATGTACAGGCGATCCTTGATATGCGGGCGATTCAGACGCGCTTTGAGTGTACACCATGCGTTGGCACACACGCCTCGCCGAATAAGACGGATCGCGAATCCCAGCGTTGGCCGTTCGAGGCCTGCACCAGACAAGTTGCGCTCCCACGGACCAACACACATCATCGCGGTTGACCATGGAGACACGATCTTGTTACGTACGGATCTGTACGCTTTTCATCAACAATTTCAAACGTCATCGCTGCATGATCCCCTGTATCTTCCAGATCCTCCACAATACAATCTGCTCAACGCGAGTCGCCTCCGGTTGAAAATCCAACACCTTGGGGCGCAATGCGATGTCGCGAAGCTTGAAATGCATGACGGCACTCGAAAGCGACACGCATAAAGCGAAAACGCATTGTAAGGACGGGTGGTAAGGACGCGAGACCCTTGGAGGCCGAGGTTGGGATTTGTTGGGCGGTGGCCTGAGAGGCTGGCCAGGGGAAACAGCAGAGGACGGGCCGCAGAGGCAAGGACACAAGGGTACCCTAGAAAAGGCGCGCGTCCTTACCATGCGCGTTGACTGTAGAGCAAGAGGAAAGAAACAAACATCTGAGCACATCGCATTCGTGGCGTGGGTAACACTTCGAGCGATGCGCGGAGACCACCCGGTCCAGCGGGTCCCGCAAGAAGACTGCCTGGGCATGGACAGACATACTGCAAGACGGCAGCAAGGATTTGAACATAGCCATATGCTTTTCCTGACCTGTGCTGTCAGATGATATTGTTCCATTGTTCGTTATGGTCGTCTTCACCCCTCAACGTCATACGAAAGCAGTATATGTAACCCTTGATCTGAATCCATCTGGGTGCATTGACCCATCGTACTCGGTCTTGCCCCGGGTAGTGTATCGCAATTCCTTGCTCAAGCATTGGCGAGGATGCGAGGCGATCCAGAAACAATGAGTGATCTACTGGGTGGAATGGAAACTGATGCTACTGGGGTCAGAGCCCTGCAACTCAGGACATCCTCAGGCAACCCTTCCTGGCATCGACGACGCAATCCAATCTCTTCTATGATCGTCCTGTACATGCGCGCCTATCGGTGAGCAACCAGGTCGAAAGGTCTCGTGCCCGCTGATGTTGTACAGGCTGGCTTGCAAGGGTAATACCGCATGTGCGAGTTCTTTTTCGGTTCCAACCAGACCCCTGGGCGCAGGTGGTTTATCGGATTCTCTCTCCTTCACCCTCCCCCTCCCTGGGGGGCATGATCGAGGTTTCGCCAGACGTTGGAGAATCCACGATGGCCTTCGATGGTTCTAAGAGGGCGCCAAAGTGCCTCTGATGACCCCAGCGATGGCACATGAAATTAAAATTGGCTCAAGATGGCCTCCGACATGCCTCTAAGAGGCCCCACGATCGCCACAAGACGGCCCGAGACGGCCACAGACTCTACCAACGACGCCCCCAAGAGACTACCATCGTGACAGAACGTGTAGCTTTGCTGCACCTTCCCTTTTACGCCACCAGGTCGGCTCCCGAGTCCTCAAGATTGCCTGAAGATGGGCCCATCAGATCTCCCAAAGCTGCCAATAACGTCCGATGAGCGTTCCGAGATAAACTCCAACGGGTGATTTTCGATCTCAAGAAATGAACTGAACAAAAACATAGAGGCAAGACGCGCCGCCAGGGGGGTTCCAACGCCGATCCGAAACATCCGCGCGAAGCGTCGAACATTTGTGCTCACGCCGGTTCTTCTTTCTTCGGAGACGGCGGGGGGCGATTCTCGGCGACTCCTACGTATGTGGTTTGCAAACCTGCCCCTCCCCAGGGCGCTGGCGAGGACCTCGACAGAATTCTCCGCCGCGCCCCGAGGAGGCACGACGAGGGCAACGTCGTGCCCTCCAGGCCCCTCCGGCGCCGAAAGCAGACCACACCCCGGCGTAACACCCTGCGGTCGCCGAGACCTGGAGCCACCGTCCGTTTCGGTTGGCATGGCCTCCAGAATGGCCCACGAGGCGACAGAGAAGGGCATCGGGTCGCGCACGCTTCGGCAGCTGGGGCGCTACCGGCGCCCCCATTCGGCAGAAGCTCGGCCCGTCCGCATCCGAGGCAGCGCCTGGCCGCGCAAGGATTGGCATGCGCTGCCTCGCCGAGAGAGGGCAAGCAACATCACACAGCATACACACACGACGAACTCCCCCAGAAATCCGAAGCTCCAGAAAAATTGGAGCGGCCGGTTTTTGGCTGTTTTTGGCCTCCTGATGCCCCCAACGGGCCCCAGGACCGTCAAAGAACTATTCAGGATGAAGAACTGGCCTTAGGGAAGTGCGCTTGAGGCCCAACGACGATCCACGAAATCCGCGCGGAACAAATTGCTTGTTCTTCGCGATGTGGCCTTACTTCCAAGCCGACGCGCTCTCAAAAAATCCGTGGTCAACTTAGCGCTGAACCAAATCTGCGAAATCGTCGCTACCAGCAGACCGTGTCGGAAGTGCGTGCCCAATGGGCAGCTGAGGTATCTACAATTGGGCGGAAAACAAATCCGGATCTTACGCGAGATGACATAGCGGCCTTACGCGAAAGCTTAGGTGGGCCGCCAGCGCGGCACACTACACTGGAAACGAAGGTGCTTCCGCGCGACCCTACGCGGGCAGCTTACGCGCGAATGCGCGTGCAGTTTACCCCTTTTTCTGCTGTCGCTCACATGAGGGTGTGGTTGTGGGCATCGTCGAGACGCTGCTGGCGAAACTGGCTGCTGCTCTGGAAACGCTCGCTCTGCGCAAGGAGGTAACGCCGATCCCTGAGATCTGGGCGCTGCATTTTTTCACACTGGGCGTTTGCTCCCAGCTTCGGGCCCCGTGACCATGACAGATCGATTCGGCTCGATGGATGTAGCAAACATATGAGGTCTAGGGCTCCAGACATGATATTAGGAGATGTAGCGTTTTTCTGTTTAGCAACGTCGGATCCCAAGGAACGACTGTGACCGGCATCATGGAACCGAAAACTAATCCGAGATGTGAAGATCACCGACGGGTGAGCGGCTCGAGCTGGTCAGCCGCGGTCTTCAAACTCGATACCCAACAATGGCTTCGGCTTCCACCTCTCTCCATGCCGCATGCTTCTGCTGCTGTGGAGTCTTCCGTAGACGTGGAGTACTAGTACATTGCCGCATCGCCCCCTTGCATCGCATGATCGGTGCACGGGTTCAGCAACCTCTCGAGCATTGATTGCCTTCCTGCCTTTAATCGCTAACACCGTCGTCGCTCATGACCATAATCAGATGATCGGCTTCTGCTAAATAATCTCGATCGGCCCTGCGGGTTCGTTTACCAAAATCTGCACCAGTATTCGGTGCGTGCGCTCTTGCGTGGCATGCCTAATTGTGTGGGCTCTGAAATCGTTTCAGATAGCTCTCGCCTGGAAATGCATCCTCCATGGACCGCCCTCTCAACGACAAGTGTGGAATGCTCCGGAACGCGTTTTGCTCATCAGATACCTCCACGCTCTGGGCTCGAGGGTTGCGTAGCGCTCTTGTACGGCTCTGGAAACGCAGAGGTCGGCCGTCACTGGAAGAGGTTGCTGCCCCTGCACGTTTGTCGTTGCAAACACCTCGGCAGCGCCAATCCCATCCAGTTTTGCTGCTCAGCGGCAGCCTCAGCCGGCGACAGGTGGAGAGGCACGCGTGCTTCAGAGACGCTGGTTGCGGGCCTCGGAAGTGCTGGGCTGAGAAGGCGAGCTCTGTCCAAGCGAGAAACACTCACACACGCCCACGCGCCCTCTGCAGTGTTGCTGTACCGCCATATCTTGAAAGATGAAAAAACGACCCTACCCTGGGTTAGAACTGCGTGGTCTGTAAACCTCCTGGGAGCCCCCAGAGCCTAGAGCCGCCAGGACGCGGCACATCACGCAGGGTTTACCCTGTCAGCCCACAGGAGTTTCAGCGCACAGCGCCTCGTAAACCAGGGTAGGGGCGTTTTTTATGTCCTTGAATATCCGCCACACTTCAGTCAGCCTCTGACGCGTGGGCGTCCGTCGCTGGCTCGCCGTCAGTCAGGGAGCCCGCAAGGGACGCATGCACCCAACCGCATACATGAACACGGCAGCCCAGTCCGCGAGACCAGCCCTGTGATACGAACGTCCGCGCAATGTGTACTGATGCATCCGACGTGGATCGATGCACGCGTGCGTCCTTCTCTCGCTTCCGATCAATGTAGGTACTGTATGAGTGTTCCATCCCCCCTTTGTCGCTCTCCTGTGGGGCCCGCGCCCGAACCTTGTAACCTGGGGGGCCCGGAAATTGGCACCAACACCAATGCAAGGGAGTGCCCCCAGTTGGGGAAGAATGTCCTGAATCTTGGTGATGGTGGGGGTAATTCGGCCACTTTTTTGTTTAAAAAACCAGATCGTGTCCACCATCACCGAGATCAATATCATCTCCCCTCGATGGAGGCAACAGCGGATACTGGTGTTGGTATCGACCTCTCGGCCTCCTGAAATCGCAGATCAACCTGGGGACCCCGTCGCTACTATGAACAAGGCCCGGGGCTGTTGTTTATGTTTTGTCACACCCCCGTGTCCCACTTTCCACTCTCGACAGGAACAGAGCGTTCTTACAAAAACGGCACACTGGAATGTGGACGCCACGCAGGTGGTATTGTGATACTTAATAAGCCTGGCAAAGGACCCAACCATATGAGGTTGTGAGTACCGCATATGTGAGCATCTTCTTCGGTGGTGCTCCTTACGAGGCCACGAACCCTATGAGGGGTGTGCCGAATTGTGTGGCTTGGTACACAACACGAACGAAGACGATAGGTCAAATTACAAGAGACTGAGCGCGGGTGAGTCTGAGCGCGAGTGATTGTGAGTGATTTTGCGCGCGAATGACTGGTGTAAACGTACACTCCTGGTGTAAACGTACACTCCTAATCTGCATGAATGCGAGCGCCACTCCTGGTGTAAACGTACATGCATGTAAATGGTTCGGGAATGCCTGACTCTGGGAACTCGTGACACTGAAGGTAGCCGCCGCAGGGTGCTTCCCCGGAAACCCCGACGGCAGCGCCCGCGCGCCGCGACGCCCATGTCGGCACGCCTCCCGCGAGGATCGCGCCCGCTTCCTTCCCTTCTTCTCCGCCCTCGTTGCCCGGGCACTCCGTAGTCTACGGCTGCGGGCGCAGCGCGGCGAAGGGCATGTGAGAGGGGCGGGCCTTCTCAGAAGGCACGGAAGGCCTCCGGCCTCCTGAAAAATGCTAGGGCACAGGAAGCTTGTCGGAAAGCTGAAGGGCCTTTCATAGGCCCCGCAGCCTTCTGAGAATGAAGGGGCCCTAGGACACATGAATAAATAGACACAAATAACAGGATTCCCCATCTTTCCCCGTATTCTATGGGTTTTTTATCTTCCCCCCCACTTCCCATATCGTCAAATATTTTCAAGGGAATCGACGATTAATTGTGTCTGTGTTTTTTCCCCTCCTGCGAGAAGACCTCCTTCTCACTTCCCCCCGGGGCACGCCGCCGATCAGAGCACGCCGCCGGCCACACGCAAAACTTGCCCCAAGCAGGGGTGACCTTCGGTGCGCGACTTCCGGGGGCCGTGGGGAGGCCAAAGCCGCATGAACCCTCGAATCTCCGAACATTGCAGCCAAGACGCTGAAGTAAGGACCGCTTTGGGTTCGGAAGGGGCTCGGGGATTTGGGTCGTTTCTTAGCCTAGGCCTAGGCCTAGGCCTACCGCGGCCACAAAAGCCCTTCTGTTCCTTATCCCACCAGCCCTTTGGGCGTGAGTGGTTTAGAGAGCCCGCTCTGTTCTCAACCCCCTTCTTCCCCTTTGGGGAGGGGTTTACCCCTCCCCCTACCCCCTCCCCCTGGACCTGGAGAGGTCCTTTCGCGGGTGGTTGGAGGGGTCTTTTTCGACTCCTGGGAGGGCTAAAAAACAACACCCCTCACCAGGATTCTGGGGGGGGGGAGAAAAAACCCGCCCCTCTTCTTTGAGGCCCAAATCATTGATTTTACTACGGTTTTGGCCCCATTTTGGCCTTCTGAGGGGGCAGCGCTAATTAAAGCTCCCTTCTTCTTTCAAGCCAGAATCATTGATTTTACTAAGGTTTTGGCCCCATTTTGGCCTTCTGAGGGGGCAGCGCTACTTAACGCTCCCCTCTTCTTTGATCGATTTCCTCCAAGATGGCCCCAAGAAGCGCCCAGGAGGCACCAAGAGGCCCCAAGATGGCCCCAAGAGGCCCCCAGGAGGCCCCCAAGAGGATCCCACACGGCCCAAAGAGGCCCCCCCGAGGCACCCAAGACGCCGAAAAGCCCGTCAGGACGACCCTCTACTCGCCTGGGCGTCGTTTCTGGACGGGCAGGAGGAGGGGCCCGAACGACTCACACCAGGACGAGGGGCCCGAACAACTCACACCACGAGAAGCCCGAACGACTCACACCAGGACGAAGAGCCCGAACGACTCACACCACGAAGAGCCCGAACGACTCACACCAGGAAGAAGGGCCCGAACGACTCACACCAGGACGAGAAACCCCAAACGACTCAAACCACGAGGAGCGCTTTCTCTCCCTCCTCCTCCGCCTCGTCCTTCTCCCGCTCCCACCACAAGGAAGATGTACAAGGAGGCGGGAGGAAGGAGGAACAGGGGAGATATGCGGGGGCAGGCGGAAACACGCCTGAAAAACACGACTGTCGGCATGCTTCGCTAGAGTTGCTGTTTTGAGATGGGCTGGTGGGGATACGCGAAGCGTGAAAATTTTGGCGTTCCTTCTGGTAGTGCCTCGACTGTATGCGTGTGCAACTATTTCTTCTTCTCCAGAGCAATGCGGTTTGTAACTGTGGGTTCGCACGGCCTCGGCAAATTCTGCCGGGGCGACGATCCGGGGCGGCTCCTTCCAATCGCATGGGCTCCTCGTGTCTCTGGCGGCCTCTCTTTGACCATCAGGTGCCCAGACGTGTGCGCTCACTCGCACGAGCACAACTCGCATGAGACAAAGAAACCCCTGCACAACAGCGGCCGCTGTCGGTTTTGAACAAAATATGCTGTCGGGCGTCGTACTAATTTTTGTCCTTACCCATGTTAGGGGAATCAACAATGACATAAACATAAAACAACTCGGAGGTCCGCGCGCATGCCTTGGATCGGTGCTGGAGCTCACTAGCGGCGCCTCTGGCGTCGCCCCTGGCGCGCTGCGCGCGCTGAAGTGGGGTGTCCAACGCTTATCCGAGAAATCCGCTATCGTGTGCCCCTGCTCGTTC